TAAGACCTCTAATCCTTCCTTAACTCTATTTGTGTTAGACGTCATCTTAGCAATTCAAACTCCTTTCTCTTTTATATCATTTTTCTCTTTATATAAAAACTACTACCTTTTTCACGCTTCCTCGCTGATTGAGAGACGATCTCTGGCCACCGCACCGTAACGAATGGGTCGACTCGACCTCGTCTTCAAGGCGTGTTGGGTTCACCGTGTGAGTGAGTTTACCAGAAGTCCATCCTATCCCTCCATCCCTCCTCAATCCCTAAATCTCTGAAAGCCTAACTCCCAAAAGGTCGACAACGCACTCATAACTACTCCGGTGTTGCGGTTGCACAAGAACAGCACCAATTGCTGCCTGATGCATTAAATAACAAACTAACTCGTAAACTGAAACTGACCTTTAAAGTTTTAACTCTTGCAAAGCTGGAGTGCTGTAATTTACCTGTGCAGTGGTTTTTATGTTAATGTATATGTTTTTATGTTGTCGTCTCACCACCTCAGTTTTAATGATTTACGAGATAATGATGACACGGCACTAATGTATGCTCTACAAGTCTACAAGATGCACGTTGTCTCTCGTCTGTCGAGTAGAATGAGAAACATGAGCATTTTACGTGAGGCGTTCGTAGGGTTAAATTGTTTATTGTGATGTGAAATGAGGAAAACTTAAGTGGTTTTCATTTATTTATATTTTATAAGCTGTGGTAATCGCGTCAAATTGATCTATCCATACACCGATTGCCACTCAGACTGTAAACGTTGCAAAGAAGGAAGCGGAGTGCGTGAGGGAACTATCCTCCTTGTCCCAGCCGCCGCAGTAGGCGACATTCCAGGCGTCGGTGATCGAGAGATGATCTCCGGCCACCGTAAGCGCGGGTCTGCGGACGGCGAGTAATGGTAGCCTGACCAGAACCAAACCCGAGCGTAGGGCGCGTAGCGTTCCGCACGCGCCTCAAAGAGCCAAAGAACCTATAGGCCTGATGTTCAGCCGGGGTTGCAGGTTAAGCGCAATGGCCCAGAGCAGGAGAAGGAACGGGGTGGGTTTTTAGTCAGTAAGGGTCTGACACTCTCTCTCGCCTAACCCTGAGCAGGATGGGCGGGAGAAATCTTTTGATGATTTTGATGATGATCAAAAAAAGACTGTAAACGTTGTTGTATCAGAAGACAGTGTCATTACAAACATTTTTCTTTTTCATTTCCCGCATAAACCCTATGTATTGGTTTTATCCTTATCGTTTCATTGGTTTTTTTTAGCCATAATGGCAAACAATCTTACAAATTACCTGAAGGTAAGCAATTAGCGCATCACATAAAAATATATGCCAGTTTATTTTACATGTAGGTAGCAATTGTTAATTGGATTTTCAATACAAAAGGAATATTTCAGCGTATAAATATGTATTGTATTGGCAGTAGATAACAGATACGACGCCGTCCGATACGCTCAACTTTGGTGATTAAATATTTCAATATACTACATACAATGTCAATCATTGACACTATTCATCAGAATATCACGTAGAATTAATCAGTAAAGTTTAATTACTTATAGCTACTTACATGTATGTATATATGTATATAGGAAAGTTTGTGAAAATGTACGGTGGTATATTTGTTTTTCTTTGAGACAAAAAGGGATGGACTGATGCGGTTGAAATTTGGTATGTGTAGATAGGTACCAACAACATATATGGCTACTTTTTGTCGAAGCACGAGAGGCAAAGCTGCGGGCAGAAGCTTAGTTAAACACAATCTTTAAGTAGTGGATAGATAAGATTAAATGAAGATATTTTTTTTCTTAAAGACTCGTAAAGTGTACAGAAGTAGTATTCTTTTTTATTGATGTAATCATGAGTAGATAGAGATATGTTTTGTCCGCCTAAAGAGTAAATTTAAATGGAGGTTCAACTTTAAAACGTGACATCACGTCGTGTATTAAACACGTTAAAAATTACATTCTGAAATTAAATATACTTTTAAAATGCAGAAGCAAAAAGTCTAGTTTTTTAATAGTCTCAACCACCCAGAAGGATTTAAAATAACACGGAAGAGATATTTCTCTAGGACATTGCCCTTCACACCTCTCATGGAATAACCAATCAGGTAATAATATAATTTTGTACACTACATAACTAAATAGGCCCTATCAAACCAAACTGTACCTAACTTACAAACAATAACCAATCATATTACTATCCTAATTACGTTCAAAATTCAGTTAAAGTTCCATACGTAACATTATCAGGACACAAATTCATTTACTTGTCCAATCTAGTCCGAGAGACCGGAACTCAAACTCGATCTTTATGTGTATTGCATGAGAAATTGTTTTCAATTCATAATGTGACTTGGTTTTGTAATATCCAAGAGTTTGTATTTGCATAGACCTTGTGATTCTTATATTTCTTGAGATGAGGAAAATTTTAGGTATGTTTGCTCTCTTCCTATATTGCGGATCGTTGCAATAACTGTGACGTCATACGTCATGAAGTCATAACATTTATTATGAGAGGCGTGTTCATTTTTTTTCGTTATTTATTATTCTGCCTTGCTGAGTGAGTGATTGTACTTGTAAGTGTCGGGAATCTCAAGTTTGAGGTTCCCGTACGGGATATTATAGTCTTTGTTTCATAAGAAAAGACAGACACATTAAACATCATACTCTTTTTTGGCAGTATTTTTTTTAATTTGTATTTACACTTACTTTTTTTTTATTATCTGACAACTCTGACAAGAAATCAAAACAAACTTAGAAATAAATACCTCGTTTAAAGTCCAGACTAATATGAAATATTGGTAAATAACCGAATCTAACAGTGCAAGCTCATTCAGTAGTAGTCTTTTGAGGAAATGTGTTTAAGCCGATGTGAGGCTTTTCCAATCTAACAGAAGTAGAACCTCTTACCAAACTATGGAGAAAGTTGTTGGAACGTAGCAGTCAATGAGGTCTTCCAATTGTACAGTTGGATCTGTGGGAAACTGACCGGATCACTTTCATTTTATTTTTTCTTTAAAAAATAATACGTTGCCCCACACTAGGATTTTCTCCTGTGTCGTGGGTGCGGTTACAAACATACAATTTCACATGCACATCACACCAATTTGTAAGAAGTTGTTCCGTGCGGGAATCGAACCCGCGACCCGTTGCACGGTAGCCAGTTGCCCAGCCACCGCACCAACAGTCAAGGGCATTAAATTCTGCCACGGAACAACTACTTCTGTGACCCACAAACTATTCAGGATATGGGTGTATTGTATATAGGACTTTATAAGTTTGTAAACCTACGATATAGGAGAAAGTCATAGTGAATCATAGAGACATTTATATAACAAAAGGTAAAATATACTTTACGATTAAGTATTTAAGCTTTGAGTTTCTTTGTTTTTTTTTTATTAACTACTTTTTTCCTTAAGGCGCACGGCCAAAAGCCGCGGGTAATGGTAGACACCTAAATAATTATAGTAGGACTTAGGAAAATTTAATATTCTTCAGAAATCTTCGGGCTTTTGGTGGATCCAGAGGTATTTTATTATTAACAATAATAACATACATGTGCCTAAAGAAAAAATAACGTGTTAGTTGGAACTATTTTCTCCTTTATTTAATAGAGCTTCCATTTCTTGAGTGTTTTTCGGTACTTTACTAAGAAATAGCTAATGTTTGTGTAATGTCTTCAATGTGTGTGTACATTCTTACACTGTCTCTTGTACTAGAAGCGTGTCTAAATAGCTCTTTAGGGTATTATAGGTGTTGTGTTTTAATTACTTATTCTTTATTACGTAATATTAATTGTTTTCATTACATTTATCATTGACTCTCTTCCTGAGGGTGTCGTTGAAGCTTACAAATTGTATAGACTAGGCAATAACATTTTCTGGTAAACCTGAACCTTTTGTGTTGCGGATCCAGTCTTCAGCAATTGTTCTAGGGACAACATGATTACCAAGTATTTTTAGGCGAAACAATGGCAATTTGCGACGCTCATGGATACCATACGAGAGGAGTTGCAAGTATCTTGCCTTTTTACGGTGAAGGAAAACATCTTAAGAAAACCTGGACTTATAATTTATAATTATAAGTTTGAAATCGCCAATCCACCTTGAGCAAGCGAGGCGATTAATGCAAACCTTCTTTATGGGAGAAGAGGCCTTTGCTCAGCAGTGGGTGCTTATAGGCTGATAATGATGATGATGATTCTCGGAGGCCGTGGTATCACTCCGGTCAAGCAGAGCCATTTTTACCAAAACTTGGCTCTTCTACACTAAAGTTAAGTAATGATTTAATGTCTCTGAGTACTGTAGTCACTTATTACAAAGAAATAACGTGAACAAAAATCTTTACGTGTGCTCAATATTATGTCCATAATTGGTTTCGTTTTCTTGAATAAAATTGATAATCCAATTCTGAAAATATGGTTGATCCTCATTAGTGTGTACTTTTGTGTTGTATTTTGTTATGTAGTATTTTTCATCCATAATAGTAAAGAATATTAAAATGTTTTCAGGAATTTGTTGAATATATTTTGTCGTAGGAAAATAACTTAATTTTTTTTGTAACCTAACAGAAATGTATTTATTTTTCTATTCGTATTTCCTGAATATGATAATATATGACATTGTCACGTACTTGTATGTAAAATTGTAATATGTTTATATTATTATCTCTATCTAATTAGATTATAGACAAACCGTTAGTGAAATTTTAATTAACTGTCCATTACCTATATAAAATATAATGTCTGTAAATAAAAAGCTTTTATTGGTATCTGTATTATTTAAATCATTAATTGACTTTTATTAGAGTTTAGGTGCTTTTTAGTGACATTCGATTTATAAAGATGTATTTTTAAAAATATTTATAATGTGTATGTATTTGTATAGACTAGGATATTTCTTTTAAGTTATTTATAATTGCGAGATTGATAATTAATTAAGAAACTATTAATTTTATCTCAAATATGTGGGAGGTTTAAAATAAAAGTCAGAAGATCGATACCCGATATATTTATTTATCCATAACGTCGACAGTGGTAATTAACAACAAACTAATTAAATAATGGGTATCCAAACATCCATTTTTCGAATATTTTACCGCCTAAAAATATTTTTTATTATATTCATTACAGTATAAATTACATGTATGTATGTAGAGTGAGTTTTAAACGACAGAATCCACTAACTCTTATAATTCCAACTATGAAATTGACACGAATAGGATACTGCATGACCCAGCCTAGATTATAATCATAGAACATACATTAATAGATCGTTATATTTGCCTTTCCCCTTACATAAATTGAAAATCACATTAAAACGAGACGATATTGAAACATGTTTTACTGAAATTTTAAATAATGTCTAACATTAAAATACATTTTAGTCTTGTACCTCTTAATTTACTTTGATCTTAAAACATTGCTGTTAAAATTGTGACTGACTGCAAACTTTCAAATTTCATTTAGTGCAGTTGTTAGTTCGTCGATTGTACCTGACATCGGCGAGTGAGGGCGATTGTACTAAATGAAAATTTGAAAGTTAGCGCGTAGGTACTTAAGCAAATAGATATGACATTATTACTCTTGAAAGTGACCCAAATAGAAAGGAAAATTAATTTCAGTTACAACAACGAATATTAATCTACATTTTTAGATATAAAGAGTATCGCTATGGACAGATAATTCTTATGCCATCGACATTATAATTTAAATTATTTACAACAATCGTAAATTCCGAACAACAATACCGCTCTTAAAATTATCTTTTAATAGAACTGAGGTTGATTTTTTTTTATAATTTTTGGATGCGAAGATAATAATTCGATATCACAGTAACGTTACAAGTCCTGTAAACTGAAATATAAATAGACTATACAAGTATTTGTAATGATATATATTCATATATTAACTTTGCATGCAGTTACAGATTCCAAATGATAGGGTTCTCAAGTTATACGTAATTAACTATGTGTGTAATTAAACGATGTTCCTTAATAGTTCCTCCGATGATAGCATGCCGTCCTGCGAACAAAGATTTTAATTAATACTCTCAAATATGAACATATTAGGTAGTACATTATGTGCATGTACATGTACATTATGTATCTCACGTAATCATATGCTATGATTACGTGAGAGTGGCAGAATGGAGAAAGAAAGAAAGAGGAGAAGGAATTAATCCTTCTTTTATCGCTCTGAGAGTAGGTTGAGAATTGAGAAATGAACCTTTGCGTATGTCTCAATCCCAATCCTTCCTTCCATCCTCAATTCAAAATTCTCTGACCTTAAATATCTCAGAGCTCACAAGAGGCAGGTAACAATCTTGTAGTTAACTCCTCTGGTATGAGTACTACGAGTGTCCACGGGTGTCGATTGCTTACGATTAGGTAATACGTGCGATCGTTTGCCGATGTAAATAAAAATAATACATAGAAAAAATTTTGTAAAATGCGTATTAAAAAAAAATCAACAAAAACTCGACTAGTTACTTAAATATTTTCCATAATTTAGTTTCCACTAACTACGAAAAACAAAGGCTGAAAGTTTTCGCAAGACCTACAGTTAACTCACCTACACCCTAAGTAAAACTCTAACTTGTGTCGAAATCGACGGATTTCTTAACGAAATTTGTTAGCCCAGGTTTCTAATCAAAATAATTAAAACATTTTATAACAGTACCTACATAAAGTTCAACATGGCAAGTCGAGAAAGTTGTAGTACCTGCTCTTTTATTGTTTGCGAGAGCCGATAACTTTTATATTAACTTAATTAAACAGTAAAATGTAATCATTAATTCCTTCAAATCAATTCCTAAATGAATCTATTACAGACCTTTCGTCGAAGATCAACATTAATTAAAATTACTTAACAGATCGAGGCAAACACTCCAACTGGCAAACTGTACGGCTGATGACTAGCGTCAGCGTTGTGTTCCGCCGGGTGAGGTTACCGGAGGTCCAAGCCTTCCTCTATCCCTTCCCAATCCGAAACACTTATTCCTAAAAGACCGGCCACGTACTCGTAACTCATTTGGTTTCGCGGGTACCCACGGACAGTGCCGATTGTTTACCATCAGGTAATCCGTCTAATCGTTTGCCGACCTATTTCATAAAATATTTCAACAGAAAACAACAAAAGATTTACTGTTGATTACAAAACGAACATCAAACTAATTCTCTAGTCACTTTATATCTACGTAGGACATCCACCCATTCTTAAAACATTTCACAGCCAAACTAATAGAGGTAGCTTCTCAACACACTTGCGAGTTCAATATCGAAGTTCTAACTTAAAGTTCGAACACAATCGACCAATAGCGCTCGGACCACTAACTAGGTTTCACACATTTACATAGTCCTGTCGCCTGTCCTAGGAATTTAGGCGGATAGGGGAGCACTAAACACATAGGTTAGTTCAAACAAGCCAGTAAGCCTCTTTGCACAAGATTATGTAGGTATACACTTCATGAACATTGCTATGCATAATAATTTCACCTTACGAACAAGTTGTGTTTAATAACTTGTACTTATTACTTAAGTTTTGATGCTAATTAATGTGATGTTACTTAACTTCAAGGATGAAGAAAAGTTCATTAAGTACGTTCTAGCTTCTTGTTTCGTTTTCAATAAATATTTGATTTAAAAACTTCGTTCTTCATAGACGTCTCTAGAGAATCGCACTATGATTTTATGTGTTATCGTGTTTGCTAGACACATTTTAGCTAAATTACTTTCATAGTGTACTTTATGTATAGTCTAAAGTACATTGTGTGGCGTTCCAAAGGTAGGTTCATAAAGAATACGTCCAAAAATACCACAGCCAACCTTTTCCCTTTTTAATTAGATCCAAGCTCACACATAATAGAGATTCCCATTCAAATATTAACTTCATTCATATCTGACATGGAGGCAATTTATTACATTATACAATGCTCACACCATAATATATTCTTCTTCACAAACGTAATTTCCTCGAATATTTTAAATGTGTTACACTTCCTTCCAAAACCCAAGATTCATAAGTTATTCGTCCGTACAAATGTAATTTTTAAAATAAGGTTTTAACAGCCTCCATCTGTTCTTTAGATTTTAATTTACTTTACTTTTTTATGTGTAAATTATCAGTACACATAAAATGACATACATAGTAAATGTGTTAACAACTAGCGGCCCGCCCCGCTTCACACGGGTCCAACTATCTCACTATCAAAGGGCCACTTTTTCCTAATTTTCCTCTCTACTTTTCTAATATTTTCTTTGATAAGAACCTTCTCCTGACAATAACAAACACAACATAAAAAGAATTAGCAAAATTGGTCCAGGTGTCGTTGAGTTATGCGCTTATTAACACATTCTGCGATACATTTTTATAAGAAGAATTAGATTACAACTTTCTCATACGAAGTAACTTAGAGTATTTCTACTAGTTTCAACTTTTAATAGCTATACAGCAAAATAAGAGTCCCGTTGTGAGTTGCAAATTGTTAGATTCATAACGAAATAAATACTTCATGGTACTAGTGACCTCTGTCTGCAAGTATGTCAACCTAACCGTTCTGCCATTGTTTCTCGAACAAATAAAAACCGTCTTTAGTCTGTAAAAAATCGTCGTGTGTTTCATTAGGTTATGAGCCCAGTAGGACCTATCTCCGAGTACATCGAAATTATCAATAAAATATTCTATCCTGCAAAAAAATAAGCAGATACAACCAATTAAGTCATTTTGCAGGTAGCAATAAAAATTGATTCAGAACAAAGACAGTAGCTATTATAACATTAAATTGTATTCCTTTTTAACAAAGGTAGAGGTTAATTTATGAAATTTGTTTAGAAATCAACCAATGTTTATATACTGTTTTTGTTATAAATTGATTTTTATTTCCTTACCCGCATACCAAATAGCTTTTATACATTGTTTTGTTAAGTCTTGTGTACCTTAAAAATAAACGAGATCTAATACAGTGCGTCTTCTAAATTTAACCTGGTCGAAATACTATAAACATTCCCCAAGTCATCTCTCGTTATATAGAGACAGAAATAGTTCGAGAACTTCATAGAACTATGTAAGTGCTGTATGAAGGTTGCAAAAGTATTCAAATAGTTACCTGATTGAGGTCAATGAACTTGCGGACCACAGATCGCGCGAAATCGGGATTGTTCAGCATCTCGTTCACAAACCAGTCCAAAGGAATGCTGTTGGAAGGGAAACAATATTTAATTAATTACATAATAATTATTACTAAACTTCGAAATAGAGAGAAATGTTGGTCTCTCAGATTTGTTAGTTAGAATGTCAGAGAAACATACAGACACACATTTTCTTAACGTAACTGACACACTATATTTAAATAATCGATTATGGAACTTGTTGTGTAATTGAATAAAAAATAATATTATTTATAATAAAATAAAAGGTATCATATTTATCATAAAAATAATTATAATAATCAAATAATATCGCACGATCACTTTCTTACGAATATATGTCGTCCTTTATAAGTTAAGTTAAGTAGAAAGTGAAAGTCTACATACTTTTATCTCATGCAATAAAAATAAGTGTATCCTAACACACAACAATAGTACAGTAACATTTAATCATATTTCTTCTTCCAAAAATATTTTTTTTCATCTACAAAATAACATCGTTCCATCCACAAGAAGTAATTACTTAAAGCATTTAAAAAGGTTACATTTATTATACACAAATAAAAAAATACGTTTTTTATCTGCGCAAGCGGAAAATGACTCGGCTATGCTGAGATAGGTTTTTTGATCATAACTTAGTTATATACGAACACAATTTATAATCATTGAGGCGTATTTTAACTTAATATTCTTTTGTGCGAAGATTTTAGGCTATAATGTAACTATGAAATATGTGGGGATCAAAATAAATGAAACTAAAACTAGGTTGTTTATGGAACGATAAGACAATTTGTCTACTCCTAAACAGCCTTTTTTTTTACAAAAAACGTTGCCCAAACTAGGATTTTCTCCTGTGTCGTGGGTGCGTTTACAAACATACAATTTCACATGCACATCACACCCAGACCCGGAACAACAATCTGTGGATCACACAAAGAGTTGTTCCGTGCGGGAATCGAACCCGCGACACGTTGCGCGGCAGCCAGTTGCCCAGCCACCGCGCCAACCGTGCAGTCAAAACTTGACTATTACTTTAAAATTCTAAACGTTTAAACAACGGAACTCATTGGTTTTGTAATTATACTGGATTAGTTACAAGTAACAACCATTCAGAAGACTTTCATACGCTAGAAGCTCGCTACGATTTCATTACTACGCTTTGTGTAGCGGCCTACGAACCGTAGCACGTAGCTGCTACGCTTCGTAGCCTCAGGACCTAGTCTTTTGATTGTCTCACTACTTTTTATCGTCACGCCTTATATTCTCGAAGGACAGGCAGAGGACCATCTATTTCCATATACCAAGTATAATAATAGACACCGTACCGCTACCTACTGAGAAATTTCCGAAAAACTGGAACTATAAACAATATCTTGTTCGACCCAGAAATCGAACAGAACCATTTGCGTAATATCATATCATTATGTTATCATATCTATATAATTTTAATTTAAACAAAGTATCGAAGGTGTGGGTGTCCAAATAAATAACTTAAGTAATTGAATTATAACGTGTCAGAAAAAAAACAAATTCATGTCAATAGTTTTCTTTACTGACTGGTCAAATAATGTCAATGCCATCCATCTATCATGGTTGTACACGACATCATTATATGTAATTGAATATTTTTATGTTATTTCAACAGCAACTAACAAACAGAACATTGTGACGATATTTCATAATCTACTTTATTTCCTCAACCATTTGGTCGATTTTTCCTATTCTTGTAGGCTTAACTGTAGTTATAAAAAACAAATAGAACCTTCGGCTATCGAATCGGATTTGCTGAATGCCAAACCTTATCTATAAGACGAGGTTTGAGAGGGCAATGGGAGGGACAATATCTCCTCTGCACTATTTACGGAGATAAAAACAATTTACTGTTATAAAATGTTATTTATACCTATACTATAATATATTTAATTATACTATAGTAATACACCCATAATTACTATGGTGCCAAATGTTACCCTGCCTGTCAAACATTCTCAATTCTAAAAATATTTTTTTTCAGGAAAATCATCAAATGACTTCTCCCGTCCAAGGCCGGACGAGAGGGAGTGTCAGACTGTTACTGACTAAAAACCCCATGTTCCTTCTCCTACTCTAGGCCGAGGTCGCGGTGCCTCATATGCGGTATAATGCCGGCTCGACCGGAGTCATATCACGCCTTACTTCACGCCGGTTTTCTGTATTGTGTTTAGCTTTGCATTGTTTTTTCTGTGTGAATGAGGTTAACAGAGGCCCAAAGTGACACCCCCTATCCCCGAATCCTAAAAGCGCTTGAATATTCTTAATATGACGATGCAGATCAAGTGATCCGACTGCTCGCTTGCCACCTGGTACGAGATGCAAAAGAAAGAAAAAATTATAAGAAATAATTTAATTTATAAATAATATTTTAAAAATTACTTTTATATGTTACTCTTAACCCAATTTTATTGGTCATATGAATGACTTACTAGTATACTTCATGACCTATCACTAAATCCTAGTTCTCAATTATGAATGAAAATGTTGAGCAATCAAATCTGAATCTATTAACTACCATTATTGAAACAAAGCAATTCATATCGATACAAATTAATTTCGATATAGTAATGCTAATTTCGTAGTTTCATAATTGGTTATCGATACAAATTAATCGCTTTTGCAATCGGTAATAAATTCCGGATTGATATGGTTTCATTACACCTATATAGGTATGTAAATTTCGTGTAAGTGCCATATGAAATTGGACTTTCATAATGTTCTGTTCAAAATCCAAATTTAAATGGATACAAATATTTAAATGAATGCTTAATTTCGAGCTGTTGTTTTATTGTATTGTTTCGTCGCCTGATTGTATTATTTACAAGTTAATGTATTATAATATAATGATTTTAATTTATGATAAATACGGTAAATGTTTCTTAGCATTTTTGTCATATATTTAAGGTCTATTTTTGTAACGATAAATCCTATAACTACTACTACGTTGCACTGCTGAGTTAAGCATAAAGAAAAGCAATGAGCTCTAGTCACCACGCTCAAGGCGTAATGGCGACTTCACTCACTATATTTTATTACAAGTCTAGTTCTTTCTCTGCGAGATGAACTTGAAAAACAATAGAAAAAATCACCACTTTATAGGAGTCGGTTTTTAGTACAAAAAACCTTTTAAAGATTTCTCTTAGCAGCGTAGATCTAGAGTCTAGTGGTGCTTATACCCACCTGAGTCGATAGCAAAATCGTAATAGCAACTTGATCCTAGATTCCAATTTCTACCTTTACACATATTGCCTACATATTTTCTCACTCACGACACGGTGTTAATACGAAACCTCTTTTGTTTAATATAAATAGAACCCAATATGGTTCAAGTTCTATATTCATTCGTTCGTTTTATTCTCTTTTCTGCTTTCCATTCGGTCTTTATTTGAATTTCGAGTGAGTGAATGGTTCTTTTCTTTTTGTAGAAATGATATTAAAAATAATAAGGTTGTTATTTAAATTATTAAAAAGAATAAGATATTTATTTAAATTACATTTGACATGTTAATTAATAAAAAAATAAAGCTTGTGTTAAAATTTTTAGGTAGAAACTAACTTAAAATGTATAATACTTTCTAATCAAAACAAAAACAATTTATAATATGTACGTGTATATTTTTTCTGTTATTGTCACGTGCCTATCACGATTATCAGCTTATATTTTATACAATTTATTTTGGTGTATAATGAGCTCTTGTTAGAGTTACCAATTCGTTCGTTTACGCGGCTAAATAAATAGCCCAGTAATAGACCCCGAGCGACCACGGTCACTCAATTTATTTTAGAAATAATGTGTACAGTTTATGTGGAGAAAATAATATCGAAATAAAAGTTATATGTTATAATTTTGAAGACAAATAAAATGGTAACCATTCTGAGCAATTTATTTTTTGTGAATCAAAAAGGTTTTCGTATGAGACTAACGAAGGAGTTTCTTATTCGTTCTTTTCCATGCACATCTGCATTTTGGAATAAATGTCTCAGCTTCACTGACGAATCAACTAACGGACTATTCTATTTTGACGTTTCAAAAGTGCCTGTATGTCGATAGTAAGACCTTTATTTAGATTTTAAATTTGTAGAAACTATTTCTTTAAAATTATACTATTACTAATGTAAAATTTACCTTTCCAAGGTCTTCTCATCATTCTCTTGACCTTCCCTCTCAGGTGTAGCCTCCAGCATCTCCCAGAAGTTGTCCAAACCGTACACTGCTACAAACAATACCAATATTAATATTGCTAACAACACAATCTTCTTTTATTTATACATAATCTTAACACCCACACTTACAAGCATAACAATCGAAATTAGTAATCATTTTGTTCGATTGGAGACGATATATCAGCTTAGTTCATTCGCTCACAATACAATAATGTCTCATGTAAACGATAATTCAGCACATAAGTCTTATTAACAATAATGTCCAGTAATTAACCCATTTATTACGTAGAGAGTACCTGTTGCTCTCTATACACAATAACGCATTCACACGACGTAATAAGCCACATTAACACCCTCAGTTTCAGTACAATAAAAGCTGACGAATATTAAGCCGAGAGGCACAATCTCCTCAAATGAGATCTCTCCAGAATACGGCAAGAGTCAAAAGCCCACTCACGTCCCTATCAGCACTACACACGCACATAAATACAGCATTGGCAGACATCATGAATAAAGAGCACATCCCATCCCACAATTTAACCCACGGATGTCATACGAACAAATAGAATAAAAAATCCCGAACTTGTTATCCGTAACAATGCCGTATTTTTGCGCTCACAAATTCACAAGATACAACGGAACCTAGGCGATCCAAATAAAGCGGACAGAAGCCTCGATGTATATATGTAGTTGATTGAAATGTTATCACGTGTCAAAGTTTGCATGTTTTAATAAGCGAGTATGGCGTTTTATGTTGGCCCAGTACGCCGTCTGGCCCGTCCCCTGAGGCTTTAATTCGGTCGATACGAATATTTGTCGTCTAAATAACATTTTCGCGGCTTATAGCCGGTTTTCGATGGACGACACCCAAAAGTCACCAGTAGTGTGTGATTTCTTTAATATTGGATCTGAGATTATCTCAACTAATACCTCGATCGTTCTTTGGCAAAGGGGCCCTTTTCCCGTAACCCCTGGCGATAAGTACGTTTGAGTTGGGTCTAAAAGTTCCCCTGGTCACTCTAATTTCTTCCTCTGTTGAAATGCCAAGTCATGGCGGTAAATTATTTCAGATCACCGTTAAAAAGCGATATATTATGAAGCGTTACGGTTTAATTTACTGCAAGCATTTTATTTTTTACTATATTTTTTTTTTGTTTTAAACGTAGTTTAAATATCCTTTTTTAAAGTTTGAAGCTTGTAAAGCTTTTTTAGCATTGCAATTTGATAGTTTCGTCATATTTTTACCTTCATCAGTTACGTCATCATTACCACTCCTTTTGCCAAAGTCGTAGGCGACCATGAGGTTGCTCTTGGGGTTAAACTTCCTGCGAGCGTGGGATTCATAGCTGTCCTGGTCTGTTGATGTATATTTGAAGTGAGACAATGTTCTATATGTTAATAGTATATAAGAGTATGTGTACAGTTGAACAGTTTAAAGCAAATAAAACACAATTGTCTAACACCAGTCGACGTGGCGCAGAACGAGTATTCCCTTTGTCCAGACGATACAAGCTCAACAGATAACATCCTCCCGTCACAGAGAACCATTGAAAGCATTCAACTTTGTGTTTTAACACGAATTTAAATTCTTTCATTTTGAACATTCATCCAAAGTTGAAAACTTTTACCCCTTTATTCAGATAGAAGGTGAATAATCCGTTATTATGTGCAGATTGCACTTTGTTTTCAATAAAAATGCACTTTATTTGAATGCGATATACCACGCAAAATACTATTCGTGACTTCTCTCTGAGTAAAGGAGTTATGAAACCTTCGCAGGAACCTACAGTGAGTACACAGTATCGAGCGATAAGTAACAAGGTTTTTATCCTCTCACAAACACCTGCAAAGCGTCTGCTTTGTAAAGGGCCAGTCCAGAGTCTGCGCGGACCATTAACAAATGGATTTCAGCTTTTATTTCCTAACACGTTTGGACTGTGTTTAAGTCAGTTACACGGTCCGAGACTTTATTGGCTTCGTAATTTTTGCCATTCACATTGATACGAGGCCGGAAATTCAATCAGGCTTCTTTGGTACCTTCTGCGTCCAATTCCGGAGCTCTTTTACCGAAATCTCTTGCGATCCCAACAGTGGGACTCTTAAAGGTGGGCGTGCCGCGGTGCGAGCGGGTCGTCGGCGCTTGGTGCTCTACGTCCCCTTCAGACACAATGGTACTATTCTTAGCTTCATTACGGTTACTGTTACATCCTGAAAAAGGTCTGCCGGCCTGAGCCGAGGCCCGCGCCCGCAGTCTACCTTCGATGTAAACTTTAACCCTCCAACGACAAATAATAACGTGTATTGTGAAATTGAATGGCGCATTTATTGTCGAAAGATTATGGTAATGGCAAACATTTCGATAGAATATTGATAGTGGAACAATAAAGGTAAAAAGTTGCTAAAACTTATCGTTTATGTGTTGGGTCATTTGAGATTCAATGGAGGCTAATATTACGGCAAAGGGGAATGTGTCCCTAATTTGTTATTCTGTAAGAATTATGCGCTCCATTAGCGATCAGCGGGTGCAAGTTATAGTTGGAAGGCTAGGAAGATGGATGTCTCACTATTGTGTACAACTCACATACATACATGAGTGATGTGAGTTGTACAAATGTTTGTAATTACTTCGTAATATTCAACATGATCTCATTATTATACAGAACGTTCTGATGGATATGTTATCCCAGTATAAGTTTGTACGAAAATAGAAAACATTCAGAGTTATTTTTAACTTTCCGAATAATATTATTTTGTGTTATAATAAAGTTTGTTATCTATTTATATTTTGTTGTTCTCCAAAAATAACTCACTATAACTTTCTAAGTTAAAATTATGTAGGTGACGACGTTAATGGCAATTGTTTTTTTATTGTTTAATAGAAAATAAATGATATCGCTGCCTGGGAAATGGATATCAAGTGTTCCTTTTTATGTACATTTAAATAAACGAATAGTATTGTAGACAGATAGTAGATAGTATAGTACATTATATATTATGTAATTCGTTCTGTTCTCTATCATAGTTTTGAACTCTCGTCCAGTTACCTACGTAGCTTATGACCAAAACTCTGAAATCGAAATTGATTTATACACAATATTTAAACACATTAGAAAAAAAAAGTCATGCAATAAGTTTTTGTTGAAAAAATAAAGAAGGTGTACAAACAAATTTATTTAATTGTCTTTTATTTATTTTTTTAAAGCGGTCAGAGTGATAAAATTTATCCCTTGTATTTCTTGTATTTTCTAGGATTGAAGAGGGATTCTATCGTTTTGCAAACGACAATCTACCTTCATGTTAAGTGCTTTTAGTGTAATTCGAATAACTTTTTATAAATTATTTTTCTTCTTCTTCAAGAAGAATACATTTCATTAGGTAAGTACCATGTATCATAGATTAAAATTGATCTTCTTGAATCTGATTTATACTACTTTTAATATAGTTACGTTACATGAAAAGTGGTATTTCAATAATTTGTTTTAGACACACGGTCATTTCAATAATTAGTGTTAGACCATATGTGTTAGACGTATTACAATATGAAGTAGGGGAACTATGCTAATATATTTTTATTTATGTGGGATTATAAACAAATATATATTATGAATAACTCACGCTCAGCCCGAGTGTGTGGCCTGTCTCGCTTGCCGAAACCCCTGGCGGTCATCATCTCGACATTCTTGAAGCCACGGGTGGGGCGTTGTTGTTTGGTGCGCGCGAGTCGGTTCTCCGGTGCCGCTGCGCAGACGCACAGACAGGCCGCCGCCGCCACAGCTACCGCCAGATGCATTGAAATATTCATTGCTGAGGACAAACGATAATGAGGTTAGGATAGTTTAGCTTTTGATAAGAGGATGATGTAAGAAAGACAGGAAAAAGGGATGCTATTGGTTTTTTAGGTGAAACTGAGAATATTTTTCTGGTTAGTTTTGTAATGTATTGGTATAGGAATCGCATAAAAAACCACTTGAATTTTGAAAATTGATATAACAACTTTGTATTATGTTAAATGTCATAAACATGCATGTGACCTAACTATGATATTTTGTACTGATTTTGAACAAAATCTGACGAAAACCTCTGCTATAAGATACAACATAATGAACCCAAGAGACACGTCACATTTTACCCAAGATATCAAGATATGAAAAAAAAAACAAGTCCTTTAAGTATCAGTCTTGAATTTAAAATGAACGGAAATAATATGAGCACACACATTGTCAGTAAAAGTGGCTTTTTACCAGTAACGTGACATTCGCCCATCAAAACCTTGACGGCCGCTCTGAACAGCCGTAAAACATGACTGATGCTAATGGACTCCTCTAGTACATACCTGTGCACTAGGTACTTAATATATATGACCTAACATTCACATAACATCAACACTTTTATTCCCCAAAAGGGTAAGTATGCACGCATACATTTCAATGTGTGGGAGAGCTACGCTTTGGCACGAACCGACCTGATGCCACGGCCTCACAGAACAGAACATAACGCTTTCTTTCAGTCGAAGAAGAAGAGCGCCAATGCACTTTTAAGTGGTATAGTTGCTAGTGCCTATAGGCGACTCCGATTCCATTCCATCAAGTGATCCGAATGTTGTTCTTTATCATCAGCCCATAAGGGTCATTGCTAAGCAAAGGCCTCTTCTCACACGGAGAACATTTGAGCATTAATCACTACGCGTACTCAAGGCGTATGGTGGGAAGGTGATTTCAAACTTATATTAGACTTAGAAAAGTCCAAGTTTCCTCAAGATGTTTTCATTCGCCGTATTTCAGTGGTGTCTGAATAATTATACGAAGTAAAACTCAACAAAAGTGACATTGGTACTTGTCAGGTTTCGAACCAATAATCGATGAAAATGATGATAAAACATTTTTGGATACTCATGGTCTTAGAAACTTCCAAAAATTAGGACTACGGCAGTCCATATTACGCAGAAGTATCCCATGGTTCAGGAATGATTATCAAGGCACCGTTTGTATCACAAGCCGTGTATATAATGTCTTAATTGACAGAAAATAAATAATGTTGAATAAAATTTATTCCGTTAGAAAAATAAATGACGGAACAAAGACAATTTACTTAAACAAATACTTGGAGAGACACAAAGTCAAAGAAACTGTGGGTTTAGCACCCAAAATAACAGTTGTGAATACATTTAGCTCACAATGATATAAAAAGACTTTCAAAACGAAAAACCTTAATTAATAGGAATGGATAAACCTAACTACGTGTCTAATTATAAAGTACCCACGGAATTGTCAAAGGTCGAAACCATAATGAAACTCCATTATTACAAAATTATGCTTTTTAGCTTAGAATACGTGAGATACAGTGCACATGTGTAGGTTGTAGTTGTAAAGTTATAATGTGACAGCATTACCTTTATACAGAATGCGTGTTGTTAATAAAAAATATCTTAAAACCTGAAGTGTGGTAGAGCGAAGCTTCGGCACATTTGGGACTGGAGGAATATCATGTCCTCACAGAAAACCGGCATGATTCATGAACCTACTTTCACTTACTTTGATTACTGAATAGTAACAAAAGGTTATATTTTAATGTGACAATAGCAACTGTCTCTATATCAAGTCAATCGTTATTTTTACCGAGATCTTAAACAGCTGTATAACCTACATTTATCGACCAACAGGTACAAAACTATTAAAAAGGCATTATTATTAAGTAAAACACGAAAATCAACTAAAACTGTTAGGTACCATAAACTTAATGAATTCACGTCCAAACAACAAAAATAAAAACACAACGAGCTATCGTTAGAAGTCGGATTCAAAATGTCAATTAGGCAAATAGCTGCAATGCAATGTGCTGACAATAGCTAACTAGCGTTTTGCAGCAAAATTCTAATCCTACAGTTCATGTGCAACAGACGAAAATAATCGCTAATGAGTTGCCTATACTGGTCCAAACAGAATTTTAAATAAATGGGAACACATTTGTTTTCCAAATTTAAAAAAGGTGGTTAAAAGTAATATGCAATTTCAAATGCGAATTATGATAAGATTCATAGATATTTTTGCGTCTAATGAAATAAGTGTTGACGTTCATCACTTCCCACATTCTTCCTGTGAATGCCATAAAAAGAATAAACCCTGGTTTCCTAACCACCAGGCAATCGTGGAAATTAACAACCAATCTTAAGCCAAATTATCTGTATCAATCTCCATTTTTGACAAAAACTTAAAACAACAAATGTTAAAAATGGATCTTATAAGTACCACAGATTTTTGAGGATATGGAGATGCTCAGTCCAGGTTTAGGCTGTTGATGTCGACAAAACAAAATTAATTAATTTAAAGAAAAATGTGCCCAATGCTTTAGCATACACCATAACTATTCAGCACCTAAAAAACTTAAACCATCCTATGCAACAGTTTTTTAAACGCCTGACCTTCACCACCCTATACACCCACATAAAAATCAATTTGTGACACGTACGAATTCAAAATCCGTAATTAAATTCTCAATCTCACACTACAATCCGATCTGATTGCGACTTGTGTACCTAAGCTACAATATGTACTTGTGCCAAACAACTCGCCGTGTCGTCTGTACGATCGCCGGACCGGCTGGGAGCCAGCGAGAAGCCCTAATCCGGAGCTAATCTAACTGTATATCCGGCAGCAAATAGCATTATGCACCGGACCGTTTAACCTGTTGTATGTTTTTTGTATTTATAGTTCACCCTGAGTCAGGACAGGGTTGAACGTTGAAGTCTGTTTCGTGACGCAATTATTACAAAGAGTTCCTAATTCAAAATTTCGGGGTCAGTAGAGTAGGTACGTAGCTATGGCCAATTTTTTTTAATCGCTTGTCATCCTGTATTCCATATTAATTATGGGAGACCTCATTCAGCAATAAACATAATTTTGATTATAATTAAAAAAAAACAAAACTCCGTGCAAAAACTTACTAAAATTGATTAGTGTTTATGTACGAATATTTTTACAACTAGCAACTTCTTTTGCCGAAAATTGATGTACAAATTTTTACTTTCAAGAAAACGTAGAACATAAATCTACATTATATTTAAGATATTACATTAAACTTATTATACGTAGAAGAAAAGATGTTCTATGAGCTTATCTTTAACACTCGTCAAGTCTAGAACAAAAGGGTGCGATAACAGGTGTGCATTGTTAGACTGCATCCCGTCGGGAGCCAGATAAAATAGCTCTGTAAGAGTTCTCACCTCAAAGAAAAAGGGGGATGGTTTACTTCAAATACCAACTTACAAATATTAATACCTAAATAAATAAACATTCATACATTGTAAATCGATTAAGTTGCACTATTCACCTCTCCATAGGTTGATACGAAGAACATGTTCCTTTTTTGAATTTCGATTTTGAAATTAATTCGTTGACCGCCGACAAGCGTAAAGAACAATTATGTTCTTTTTTTGATAATCTTACTTTTATTATAATTAAAAAACTGTCACAAAGGAATGTTTATGCGATTGGATATCTGAATTTGGAGTAGACAGAGAATTACCTAAAATACTAGCCCTAGTAAATGGATGATGCCATAAATATTTGTCTGAACTTGGGTCGAAACATTAACTCTCTCACATTCCTAACGCAACCACTATGATTGATAAAAAAAAAACTGTCGAATCTTACAAAATCATCCAAACTAATAAAAGTCGGTCACAAAATAAATCCTGAAGAAAAGTCATTACCTAACAAGGACCAAACGAAGGCCGTCTGACGAAACATACTAATCATTTAATCCAAGTTAATAATGGATTCAACTATTATTACCATTAAAGTCAAGTTAAGTCGTTACAATTTAAACGCAGCTTGAATATTGATCATGTTCAACTGGCCTGACCAATCAGGATCCCGACTTCAAAGTATGAGGTATTCCACAATTTCCCTCCTATTCTTTGGACATAAAATCTTTGCTTAACTAGATTCGTTCTTTGTTCTATTTTAGTGATTACCTTTGTTTTAAGTCAATGTAAGTTGAATAAATTCTCAAAGGTAAATTAGAAGGTAGTTTCGTATAAAAAGATACCAACTATACGTGGTTTTATCTCATGGCTTCTGTTAATACGTTGACCTGCAAGGTTGTATGGAAATAAAATAATAAAAGGAATATTCGCATTCTGGTATTAACAGTTGCCTTCAATGGATTAATTATTTAAACTTATTCAAAATATCTACTGATCTATGACTATATTTGTCTATGGAAAAAAATCGTCAAAAATCTGAACGTTAATAAATGTTAAACTTCCAAATTTTCAATGATAAATGTATTATTATTTACGCACTTTTGGCCTGAAACCTTAACCAAAACACTTAACCACGTTTTAAAAATCAAGTCACACAAGTAAACTGCAGTTTGAGCCACATAATAAAACCCTAATTATATGGTCAATGAACGTCGTACACTTCAGAACGAGTAAGAAATTTTCCGGTAATAAATTGTTTTCTACGTTTCATTGGGGAATAGATGGGAGTGCAGGATTTTATTTATTTTGCGTTCCAAATTACGAAAATTAGGAAATGGATGAACTCTTCAATTTGCTGAACGTCAAGGGACTGATTACACCTTTTTCGTGAGAACATTTATTTTGTTGTGTCTGTGCTTTGTAAGATTCTAAAACTATCTGATTGTAGCAAAATACAGGTTTTAAAACATATTTTATTTTTATTACAATTTCTAATATTTAAATTCAATGTATATTTTTTATTAAATATATTTTTTAAATAGATAATGTTAATTTATGATTTATTTTTAAATTTATTTTGTAGTTTTAAAACATTTGCATTTTTGACCAAACCATTCAACATAAGTAGGAATACGTACACCATTCAAACTTATTGGGCTACCTCTTATAAGAGGAACCGCATAGGTAGGATAATAAAGAAAGTACAGTCTACGTGTTTTTTTTACAAAAAAAAAAGATTCGCCAATGAAATGAACACATCTCGTCTCATCCAAGATTAAGATCCCTAACAAAAGGCATTGTGACAACTGAACGACTAATCTGCTCGCAAATAGGAATGATAGATCCCTAAAATAGATACCTCCAACGCAACGGCGTGACTTAACTCCATTCAAGCTACATCGGTCAACTTAATATCACGTCCTTCTAAAAATAACACATCTGTCTCAAATTACTAGTAGGTAATCATGGCTGAATAAAAAGCTAACAAGAAACCTCTATGGTACTGAATAAAAAGCGCGCGAATTCTTTTGAAAATGGAACAGTTTTGTGGAACATCTGTTCTCTTTTTGTCGCTGTTTATCTTGCATTTGAACTGAAGGCATTTCACTGTAATTATAAATTATTTACTTGTACACGTATATATTATGTGATTGTAGATTTTCGACCCCAGCTTAAACAGTGTAGGTGGTATTTAGCGTATGTAGGTTTTCTATTTGCTAGTAAGTATATTTTTAATATCACAATTTCTCTTGTGTTATATAACTTACTTTCAAAAGAGTAGTCCGCAG